TTGAATCATGTGGTATCTAAAGGTTATTGTTATGATATACAGTCTGTAGAGGAGAAGGAAGTTTTTGATGCAGAGAAAAGTTTGAGCACATATGGTGCATCTTTATTGCCAAATTATCAGGATGATGTTGTGGATTGTGATGACTCCATGCCGGAGTTTGAGGGTTTTAGCGTTGGCGTATCTCCTATTAAGAGAAATGATATCTGCTATGATTCTAATTACCTATATTTTAGGGAGGAACATGTTTCTTTGGATTCAAAGCAAGGCTGTTCCACAGACTTGGTTACGCCCAAGACTCGTCCTTTCGAAAACTATAAAATCAACAAAATTGCTGATGTTTTTCAGTCATTACCTAATGGCCTCTTGGAGCAGATGAACTTAAATTATTCCCTCTCTGGTGATTATTCAGGACAATATAGGACAAGTGAACATGATAAAATGTCTGGTCTTTGCTGTAGCTTGGGATCTGTTTTTGACTGTTCGTTTGATGAAAGGTCTTATTCTCATAGCACACCTTCTGGTGCTAGATTTGGGTGGGCAGCTCATAAAGCTCCTTTGACTCCTCCAATAGAAAAGTCCAGCTTGAGAAAGATTTCAGGAAAAAGTGGTGCCAGTTCACAGACAGTGGGAACTAACCCTGAACTTGTGTGCTTCCGAATTGATGAAAATTCTAGCACCATGGAAGACATTCTTGATAAATCAGGCACCTCCAAAGAGGGTACTCGCTCAAGAGGTTTTAAAGTTCTGGATAATAGGGAACCACTTAAAGATGTCACTTCAAAATATGAAAATGCACCAACTTTGGTCCCTCCTACCAAGATGCTTCTTGATAGACGTGATCTAGAATTGGGATGTGCTTATACTGTCGATACAGATCAGATAGGAGATAAGGAGAACCAATGTCCTTCAATAAATGGAAACAAAGAAGGGAAAGCGGTTAAATTTTTATGTAGCAGATCTAGTAAGCCAGAAATAAATGTGAAAACAGTTGATGGAAATAGAAGCCAAGCAAGCACCCGAAAAGGATGTAAGCCTAACAATATCATCTCCAACATATCTTCTTTCATCCCAATGGTCCGGAAAAAGCAGCAAGCAACAGCCACTAAAGGTGATCTTTTTCTTCTCCTTTCTTTATTTTGCTTTCTCTAGAATTTTGGGTTTTTCTAACCCTTTTATATTTTGCTTGCTATAGAATTTTTGCACTATTAACAGTAGGATGAACTTTACTTGTGTGCATGGTTAATAGTAGGTTGTGATTTGTTGAGTGCCTATTTAAATGTCTTCTATACTATATTTTGATGGGAGAAAATATGTGACACCCATCCAGAAGTCTCTTTAAACATCCTTTCTGGCCAAAATTTTCTTTTAACTATGAATTAACAAAACCAAATAGTTTAACAAAAATAATAAGAGAACATCCTCAAAATGTTGAGCTCCTCTCAAACTCTTGATTGTTTTCTTCATTTGCCCATGCCTCAATTGTGCAAATCTGAATTCTGTCCCTTATGAAATAGTTTTAAATGTGGTTTATGTAGGTCCGTATTTAAAGGTGCATCTACTTCATTTAAATTAGGCAACTAAAACAGGATCGGCCTGTTACAAATTTCGCTTAAAAAAGGAGCAACACAAGTTAATATGCAAACCAATGAATTAGTGTAATTACACCATAGATTCAAACGGATAAAACCATTAGTAGAGTAACTAGAGTTATACTAGATATTGGTGGATGCTGATGAACATGTACTTTACTACCATGCTGCACTAGCCAGTGTGCTGGTATAATATCAGGAAACCAATGATGCCCGGTGCCTGCCATGACCTACTTGGCAAAGAGTCCATTCTGGTTGGTGTGGAAACTAATGCTGATTGGCATTTATTCTGCTGGAATTATATATGTTCATCCCTGTGCAGTTAATAGCTTCTGCCCCGTACATACTAGAAGTGTGCCATAGTTAGATGTTATTATCTGATTTTTGTATAATCAGTCTTGAACTTTTATCCCATGGAGCAATCCAGATAGTCTCAAATGATTTGGATGATGTAGGAGTTAAAACTAATCTTATTAAATTTACCCATTAACTATATTCTTTAAATGTATAAGTGTGAGTTGTGATTGTGGAAGCTTATGATAGCCAATTTATTGATTATTCTCTTATACTTTTCTAAAGTTAATGAAACTGAACCTCAGAGAGATTTTACAATTTACACTATGCATATGGAGATCTCATCCTGCTAATAACACTTTTATACTACTTAACCATGTTTCATTGATCTAGTACTTGCTTTCTTGGTGCATATAAATCATGATTGCATTTGTATACTCTTTAGTCACTGCTTTTGGGGTTCTGGGCCATGCAGACAATCTTACAAAGTTAGCTAAGTATTATGTCTTATGTTTCGATTTTACCTCAAAATTTCTATGTAGCTTCCTAATAACTATTATATTAATTTGAAAAATTGCTTTTGGTTTTTGGAGTATATGAAAGTAGCAATAGGTGAGCGCCCGAGCGCCTAGGCGAGTGCCCAAGCGCCTATTGTAATCACTGACTTGTATCTATGGTGGATTATGCAATATCATTCTGCAAAGCAAACATATTTGCACATGTATGTTCCATGTTTATTTAGATGTGCAGATATTAGTGGTCTTGTCCAGTTGTAGCTGTTATCTCACAAATTGTTGGTGACAATGGCTCACTGCTTGTTATAGCTTCAGTCCTTTACCACGATGATGCTGTTACCTGTAGGTAAGAAAGACATCAAAGTAAAAGCACTAGAGGCAGCTGAGGCTGCAAAACGTCTTGAAGAAAAGAAACAAAATGCACGTGAGATGCGGAAAGCAGCATCAAAGCTTGAGCGTGAAAGATTAGAGCAGGAGAAACAACTCAAGCAAAAACAGTTGGAGGAGGAAAAAAGAAGGAAGGCAGCAGATATTGCTGCTAGGAAGAGACAGAGAGAAGAAGAAGAAAGGAAAGAGAAAGAAAGAAAACGAAGATGCATTGAAGAAGCTCGGAAATTGCACAGAGAACAAGAGGAAAGGTTGCAAGCAAAAAAAGAGGATAAAGGGCTTCTATCCAAAGATGTTGTAAGTTCCTATTTGCAATATACATCAGTTATCCAGGTCTCTGGACATGTTCTTTTGTTGACATAAAATGATAATGGACATAGGATGATGATGGAAGGAAAAAAGGTCTTGTGCAAGAGGCAAAGCAGCAACTGAAACTAGAAAAAGGAGGGGTAGTTGCTGGGTCTAGAAAAGCAGAGGAAGTGGAACCAGGTGCCACCAAGGTAATGATGGGTGGAGACTTGCTGCCATTATCATGATTTATTAAATGACTTGTATGCCAAGATTAACGTGTTTGCTAACCATTAATTCTTTTGAAGCTTTGCTAGCTACTACACTGTCTAGATAATGTTTACCTATTCTAGTGATTTTTGTGTAGTTTGCAACACTTTTGGATTACTTGCTTCTTCTTTTGAGAGGTCAAAGGTTTTTTAACATGATGGGTCTGTTCTCAAGGTTTTATCAAAATAAATGAGTACTAGTTGTTAGAACTATTTGCATATGATTTGGGTCAATAAGGCTGTGAAAATTGCTGTTTCACATCAACAATCACAGTGTTTCAGTTTTTTTTAATATTTTGTGGCTTAGAAAAATTTGGCTACTTCGGCTACTTTGATTCATGGAAGTTTCTAGCACCTGATTGTATAATCTCTGGTTTCTTGAATTCTGGCATTAGACTTTGTACCATTAACGTTTCTAATATTTCTATTTCTTTTATTTAAATGGTGTTACTCTAGGTGGTAATCAGCTCAGATGATATGAAAGGAATAGTTCAAGATAGGATGCCTACCACTAAAGACAATCAAGATTTTCAATCATATGAGATATCTCCATACAAAGACTCTGATGATGAGGATGGGGAGGAGGAAAACATGCGCAGAAGAAAGTACATTCCTTCCTGGACTAGGTGAGTACCTTTTTTTATTGATATTCCTAGCAGAAGATAACTAAGTGTTTGGAAAATGGTCCACGCAGGCAGCTCCAAATCTCATTATCAATTTTCAGAAATTTCATGTATAATATATACATATATTTTTGTTTGATTGGCTTTGCTGATGTTATGACAAACTGAGTCACAGAAGAGAGTGCTTGGACCAACTTCTGCTATCACAGCAACATCAAGATCCATCAGATATTTTTTGCCGTAAGAGTTCATTCAACCTAAGTGACGGTAATGATACAGACCTTGTGCAACAAGAGCATTCTTTCTGAACCAATGCTTGGTATACGTCAACCGTATCTAACTGGTGCCATCTTATTCTTTTCTTTTTGCAGTTCTATACCTTTCTGTTGTACGGCGGCAGCCATTGTGACATTGTATGATCTCGCCTGATTCAGACAGTGTTGGATATGAAGCAGTTCCTCGATGGTTTGCTTGTTCTACCATTATGTACTCATTCATGTAAGCTTCACAAAGAAGTATTGGATTCTTTCCCCCTCCACATTGTAGTAGAATGTTGTTCCTAAATTTCAAGTATAAGAAGGGAACATTATACAAAATCAAAGAACATGTTTTTTGTGGTATATAATCCAAATTGGAGTTGCACTGTTGTTTCATGATCTGGGAATTTAAAGTAGAGAAGGCTAAAGATTATATGGAGTTGCCCAATTTATCATGTCAATCTAATTTTTTGGATCATGGCTAAGCATAGAGATCTTGTCATGCAACAAACTAATCTAATTTTTAGATCATGATTTCGACACCAGCAGAAGAAGAGAGGAAATAGAAGGGAGTCGGCCAACGGTGTTTTCTGAACAACTTGTAGATTCGTGCATGACTTGATCTGAAAGGATTCTTCCACGTGTTATAGCAGCCTCCATCTTTGACTGTTATCTTAAATGCCCTTCCCGACCGTTGGAAACCCTACCGGCTTTCTATTATTATTACTTAAACTGTCCCCCGCGCCCATTCCCAATCTCCATAACGTTACATCTCCATCTCTATCTCTCTGTGTACTTTGTACTATTCATGTCGGCTTCTTTGTCTCGAACACTTCATCTGCAATATCTCTCCGCTCCTCCCTTTCTTCCATTCGTTGGTACATTTCTCTCTTCTTGAGATCGTTGGCAGTCTTCGACACCATTCCTCGCTCGGTTTCGATGGCCATTGCGTTTGTTGTCCTCCTCGCGCCTCTGCTGTTGCTGCTACCACCATCAGCCTCTTGCGTGGATGTGAGATTCGACTTCGCCTCCTTCTCCTTCCTCAATCTCACCCTCCTCGGCGACTCCTACCTCAGGAACGGTACCATTGGCCTCACCAGGGAGACCGATGTGCCCTCCTCTAGCGCCGGGTCCGCTATCTGCACTCTCCCCATCCGGTTCCTCGACCCGGAGACCGACGCCGGCGCCGCCTCCTTCGCCACCAAGTTCTCCTTCTCCGTCACGAATCCTAATCCCGACTCCTACGGGGATGGGCTCACGTTCTTCGTCTCCCCCGGCAACGCCACCATCGGGAGCACCGGAGGCTACTTGGGCTTGTTCAACCCGTCCGGGAACGGCAGCGGCGGCGGCAACGGGTCGATCATCGCGATCGAATTCGATGCTCGATTGGATGTGGGGTTGGGTGATCCAAGCGGCAATCATGTTGGTCTTGATGTCGACAGCCCCATTTCCAAGGCCTCGGTCGATCTGACTCCGTACGGCATCGATCTCAAGAGTGGGAAGCTAATCACCGCTTGGGTCGACTACCACCAAAACGTGACTATGCTCAAGGTTTGGCTGGGATACACCGACGTGAAGCCCAAAGATCCAGTTTTGATCACCACAATCGATCTCTCCAAGCATTTCGCGGAGTACATGTACGTTGGTTTCTCGGCGTCCACCGAGGGCAGCACGGAGGTGCACACAATCGAGGGTTGGATCTTCCAGGCCTTCAGTTCCCCCGCCGTCGCAAACACCACCCCCAGTGTTCCTCGCAATGCTTCTGGTGGTTCGTGGAGCGCGATTCCGGCGATACCCATCGCCGATGCTCGCGACAGTCCTCACAGGATGCTCGGCCTAGGACTAGCAATCATTGGCCCCGCGACATTTGCTGTGGCCTTTGCTGTGCTTGTTTGGGTCTCAGCCAAGAAGTGGCTGGAGAAGAAGGCAAGCAAGGAGGTATTCAAGTCCGAGTTCTTGAAAGGCCCAAGGAAGTTCTCTTACAAGGAGCTGAGCTCAGCTACCCGAGGATTCCACAGCAGCAGAATCGTCGGGAACGGAGCCTTCGGGACAGTCTACAAAGCAACCCTTCCTGGATCAGGTTTAACGTATGCGGTGAAGCGGTCCAAGCAAGCCCACCAGAGCAAGAAGGAATTCATGGGCGAGCTATCGATCATAGCTCGCCTGAGACACAAGAATCTAGTTCAGCTTGAAGGTTGGTGTACAGAGAAGAATGAGTTGCTGCTGGTATACGAGTTCATGACCAACGGCAGCCTCGACAAGATCCTTTACCGAGGACAAGAATCAGGGACCAGCTCGATGTTCAAATGGTCCCAGAGGTACAATGCGGCGATCGGGATTGCCTCGGTTCTGACATACTTGCATCAAGAATGTGAACAGCAAGTGATTCATAGAGACATAAAGACCAGCAACATAATGCTGGATGCCAACTTCAATCCGAGACTGGGAGATTTTGGCCTGGCAAGGTTGATGGATCACAATGAGAGCCCTGTGTCGACTCTAACCGCTGGAACGATGGGCTACCTTGCACCTGAATACCTCCAGTATGGAAAAGCTACTGAGAAGACTGATGTGTTTAGTTATGGAGTTGTGATACTAGAGATCTGTTGTGGCAGGAGGCCAATTGATTCTAAAGACAACAAAGAACACAAGTTGGTCAATTTGGTGGATTGGGTTTGGAGATTGTACTCTGAGGATAGGCTTATTGAAGCTGCAGACAGTAAATTGAATGGGGAGTTCGACGAGGGAGAAATGCTGGGACTTCTGCTCGTGGGTTTGAGCTGTGCAAACCCAAACTGTGCCGAAAGGCCTACCATGAGGAGGGTACTTCAGATTCTCAACCGTGAGGCAGAGCCCATGGCTGTGCCTAAGAAGAAACCACTCCTCATGTTTACTTCAGCTGCCTCTTTCAGCATGAAAGAGATTGTCTCTGACATTGAAGGAAGCACAGTGATCACAATCTCGACCCAAATTTAGTTGAGGTTATTTGTTTATTCTTATCGAGTCGGTTGTTTTTATCATGCCTATATGTTGTATAATCATTCTATTTCCATTGTTTAGATAGAGTTCTCCATTCTGTATTTGGTGAATCATGGTCAACTTACAGAATTGGTAGGAACACTTTTGATAATAAACATAGCAGCGGTATAGGTACTAAGCCTTTTAATCAAATTTACTCTAGCAATCTATTTTCGAGTTGTAAATTATGGCCTAGAAGACCGTTATTTTTGTCCTTCAGTGATATTGCATTCTGCTTTACTTTGTTGTGAAGATGAGATATGTAGACTTAATCATCAGTAATTGCACTAGCTTCTAGTCTTACAAGATGATCTGATTCACACATATATATGTTCTGCTTGTTAAAAGAACGTAAAACTCATCCACTTGAAGGGCCGTTATTGGATGTGACATGAGGCATAATTCAACAATGTCATCTTTCATTTTACTGTCAAAGTTGATATTGACTTGATTAATTGTCTCTCTCATTCCTGTTATTTGTCTAGCTATGTTTGTTCAACTCATTGCTTGCTTGTTTCATCAGTTCATTAACCTGCAAAAAATTGCAGAGCCTGCTTGCCTATGCGCAGGAACTAATCTTTTTTCATCTTGTGAAAAATGTTATTATGTTACTATTATGGAAATGAATAATTCTGCTAACATATGCCGTGATGTAGTTTCTGAATAATATATGTACCACTAATGTCTTCTAGTTATGTTTTTTTTTTACTTCTGACACTCTCATTTGAGAATCACTTGCTGTCACTTTAGGGCAGTTACTATTCAATTAGAATTATCAACTCTCATTTCTTCCTGCCTAATGCTTTTTTCCTATATTCCATGGATCTTAATAGTTTATATCAGTGTTAAAGGTGCCGAAATAGTTTTTATCTTCCTGTCCTTCTTTATATTTCTAGACATGCAAAGTTTTCTCAAAGTTTCAATTGAACAAGTCTAAAGATATTGAGCTTATCATTTGCACAAAATTTGGTTACATGATGGTGTTAACTTGCCTGGCTAGACAGTATCACACTGTTACACTGTCTACTTGTAAGAGTGAGTCCCTGCACTTCATCTATCCTGCCAAACTGCTATTGTCAAAGAGGAAGCACAATATTCAGCAATTAGTAGGATATATATGCATGTATGTATATGTATATACCTCAGAGGTTCCAGATGTAACCACAAAACTGAAAGTGACAATTGCAATTATATTTTTATGAGGTTGCTCAGTTGCAATGACAGATTAAGTCTTGTTTTTCATGGAGGATTGACAAAATGCTTCATTTATGACATGCATGTTGTATCTGACAATGGAGATCATTCTCTCTTGTTTGACAAGTGAACTTGCTATTATGTATGAATCACAATCGACACAAGTTTGTTTTAGATCTTTTTTCAGAATTGAGTGATTGGTTGTAGCCAAAGGTTTGCCATACTATTATGAAGCACAATTGTTCTAAATATACATTCTGCTAAGGTTGCAGAATTACAGTAATTGATCTAAATCTTATTTTTCAGTCAGGAATGTCCAAATGCTTAATCATGCCATCTGCTAGCTATATATTGGAGAATTAATATGCCAAAATTGTGTTGCAGTGTGTCATATTTTGTTAAAGAGCCTGTTGGTGATGAAGTTTCATTCCATAAGCAATGAGCAATGATGTAGAGGTAATTATAGAGGTACAAAAAGATGAGGTAATTATGGTGAGAAATGAGATGAGCAAATCTTTTTGTAAAGAAATTGAAGTATTGAAACATGAAAATAACTTTGAAGCATTTATATTGACCAACAAAATATTCTACATCTGTTTTAGAATTTATGAACTCTGAAAGGAATAATAATAATAATAATAACTATTCATGATAATAATATTTTCTAATTCTCTTCCACTTAAATTAGATCTTTCCGTGCTACTAAAGTATAAAAGGTCTCAAGCTTTACCACACTAATCTATCTCACACAAACACAAATTGCACTCTATATAGATCGATCATGCCGACTTAAGCTTTACAACACTTGGTTGGATGTGACATGAAAACGAGCCTCTCCTCCATAATATTGAATTAACAATAATAATTATTAATCTTAATTTTAAAAATATTTTAAAATTAACTAAAAAAATATTAATATTGTTATCACTAATTATATTTAAGATTTCCTTTTTCTCTTGACCTTCATCAGCCGCTTGCATTTTTCATGTGCCCTAAATCTATCTTTCTACTCTGCAGAAAATTTCCGCTTTTATCTCGCCATGAGTTCGAGGATTCGATTCGTCGAAATCGCGGACGCTAACCCTAACCCTAGCGGTAGCAGAGATAAGCAAGTGATCGATCTCGGCGACGGCAGCGAGGTCGTCTACATACCTCGATTTATTTCCCGCGATCAGGCGTGGGAATGGTGCGAGTATCTCGACAAAGAGATCCCGTGGACGAGACCCTCGATCCACGTCTTTGGGAGGTCTTGCCTCCAGGTATACCCGCTCCATCTTTCTTTTTTTTTTCTTCTTCTTCTTCTTTCAATCTCTAGAAAAATTCGATTCTTTTACCCATTGGGTTACTTTATCTCTGATCTTTTGTTATCTGACGTGTTCTTGTTTATAAAGTTTTGGTTTTTTTAGCACTTCAACTTCTTCAGTGGTGCCGGTTGGCTCTCTTGTCGTTGATTTGTTTATCCTTAAATTAGGTGTTATAATTGAGAATGAGCGAGTGTGTGGTGATAACGTTTAAGAATCGTTGTAATTTCTTGTCTTAGACAATTTAAACTGGAATATTCTGTGGATAGCTTCTCGAGTTTTGGTATGACTGGGTTATTTAGCTCCATGATGGAGGAACCCTTTTGAGTACAACATGACTTATAGGTGAAATCCCAAAGCTTTTCGTGTTGGTAAAATTTATTATGGCCTAGGCATCCGTGTTGATTGGTCTGAGTCGCTCTGTTTGTTGCTTTAATCTATATATTATGTAATTGGAAGCATGGATGTAATTGGAAACATGGATCTGAATTCTAGTTGAAGAAACTTTAATCTATATATTATGCAATTGGAAACACGGATACAAATTCTAGTTGAAGAAACCTCTATTTATGATCCTCCAAAACCAAGAAGTTACATTTCAAAAATTGTCTTAGTGTTCTTGTTTCGATATGATTGATCAAGTTTGTTATCTGTTGAATATACAGATGATCTGTGTCATCTTCTCATGGTTCTTTGCTTATTTAAGATCCACAAAATGACTAACTCAACCTTTTCTCTAAGCCCGTAAGGATTAAATAAAACTACTTGCTTCTGCAACCTTGTACCCAACGTGTTTTGACCTACACAGCCTAGGTTTAACCTTTCTAAAATTTAAGCTCGTATTACCTTATGACAATGATGTTATATTCCATAATGATGTTAAATGTGTTTTTGAAATATACCTGAAAAATCTACGTTATCTTGTCGTATCACTTTTTTATATTTGAAACATGTTCAGGTCAAGCTTGAAGGATTAACTCCCTGATCACAAGAGCTAAACTCTAATAGGGTTTATTTATCTATTGCCTAAATTTTCCTCGAGGAATCTGGAACCACCTTTTGTTGGTTAGTGTCAAACTACCACAAAACTCCATTGAAGTTCTCGTTTTTCAATTGGTTCTTTGTTGCTGATATGTCAACTGCTACTTCCGGAGCAACATAGATGTAACTAGCTAGGATCTTATGCTGAAAGGCACTGTCTATCAAATGGTTAACAGTGTGTGTGGCATTTTTCTTTTTAAGTAATGGAGTGGGGTGAAAAGAATGAGTTGATTTGAACATGTGATTGCTTCCTTTCTTTTAAGCATAAATCACCTAGGATGAGAACTTGTCATGTCAGAAATATTTGAGGATCCCGCCTGAGGCCTTAATTCTTCCGTAGTTACTACCTCTTGAAAAGGATCTTCCAACTAATTCTAGGTCATCCACGGATAAAATCTTTGTTCACCAGATGAACCTTTGTATTCTGATTTCGGACCTAAATTCCTCTGTGAATTAAAGAGTAATTTTTAGAAGTACCATGGTTCATGTCTAGGGTCACTTATTTATTAGATATATAAGCACCTTTGCAAAAGGCCATGGGGTTGTGGTTAGTTGTAGCCTCAGAAGCATATCCCTGGGCTTTTACCATACCCTTAGTGACTCTATGATCATGAGATTCTGGCATTCTTAATGCGATGTGGTAGTAGCGAGCACTGTTTCACTTGATTTGTAAAAGCTAGATGACAAGTGCTGTTGGTGTGTCCATTTTTCATTAATGTAATGTACTAGTATTCCAAATATTCATCATTTTGTAATATTTTAATGTTTTTCATAAAACTGGATAGGAGAACATGGTTGATACATTTCAAGATATATGGGGATTGGGGTTGCTTCCTATTGTACAGTTAATACCTACTAACTCTTTTAAGGTTTCAAATGAGGAAGTGATGTATGATGATCTGCTTTAGCAATGCAACTAGGCAAGAAAGTTGAAGTAGAATCACCCTTCATCTAAGCTATTGAACAAGTAAATAATTTTTAGAATTTATACATGCACAATATGTTGCTACCTCAAAGGTTTACTTATGGATAAAGCTAATAGCAGAATGCGATATCTTAATTTGAATATTACACTTTTCTGCAGCCAAGGGAGACATGCTATATTGCAGATGAAGGGCTAGCAGCTATGCGGTACAGTGGGTATCAGCCAAATGCATATTCTTGGGATGATTACCCTATCCTCAAAGACATCTTGAAGGCAGTAAGAACCATACACATGCAGGTTTACATGTATATTCTTGGGATGATTACCTTATCATCAAAGACATCTTGAAGGCAGTAAGAACCATACACATGCAGGTTTACATGTACTGAAAATGTCCTCCGTATAAAGGATTTTTTGCATTTATACCCTTGCAATGTTGCTTTTTTACCTTTTATCCAGTGTATATGTGAAAAAGTTATATATCAAAAATATGGCATGGTAGTTCCTACTTTCAGTGTGGTATGATAGTCAGACCATGCTAAAATAAAATGGGTTTCATTATCATCATATTAAGGGTATGCATCTTCTAATTTTCTTGTGTTGCATAATGCTGATTTATCATTCCACATGGTTAAATGTTGATTTATATTTGCTTTAGGTTTATGAAGCACTTCCTGGGAGTAAATTTAATACTGTGCTGTTGAATAGATATAAAAGCGGCTCAGACTATGTGGCATGGCACTCGGATGAGGATAAGTTGTATGGCTCAACTCCAGAGATAGCTTCTGTATCATTTGGATGTGAACGGGAATTCTTGCTGCGAAAGAAACCTTCAAAAAAACCAGGTATTCAGCAGCTGAGAATCAAAGAAACAATTTTGCTGTTTCCAGTATTCATTTTTAAAAAAAATTATATCCTGATTGACTGCAGCGACCATTTAACTTTGTTGTAATGCGTTTGCCAGCCTCCAGAGGTGCACATCAATCAAATGGGAAACAACACAAGGGCAATACAGAACAGCATGCTTTTGTTCTAAAGCATGGATCTTTGTTACTGATGAAAGGCTACACCCAACGAGATTGGGTTCATTCGGTGCCCAAGCGTATGAAAGCAGATTCTGTTAGAATCAATCTTACTTTCAGGTGCATTCTCACTTGAGAACACACAAGGTGATTTTGACGAAGAGTTGAAGTGGAGATCGAGGAGTTCCCCACCGGCCACTTTTTTTTGTTTCGAACTTGTGCTGAGGCAATTCAAAGCCGGCATTTTGACCCAGACAGCATAATTGACATTGCCCAGCATTAAGCTGAACATTCAATCAATATTTGGGAATGACTTTTATGTAACTATACATATTCCCTAGAGAGAATCTGATGAAATACCTGCTTTGGATCTCATGTAAATCCTTTTCTCAGTGCTTGTTGGTGACTATACATTTAAAGATGTGGTTAATTACATATTATTTCTAGAACATGTTTGTGTTGACTTGTGGAATATACCATATTTTAGTATGTTATTATATAATTTATTTACATCGAGTTATGTTTTTTTTTTCAGAACAAAAATATATCAATAATTTATACAAAATATGCAAAACGAATTGTTTTCTCTAACACATCTAAAAACTAAGAGACAAACTAAAGAAAGTAGAGGAAAATGATGGATTGAAAAAAGGGGAATGAATGAATAATATATCTTTCTCTTTGGTGATATTTTAGAAAAGAGGTTTTAAATTGGAAGAGACAGATTTTCTGCAAAATAATTATAAATAAATAAATAAGAGACATTTCCATCAAAATCGTTCTATTTGGCATATAAATTTTTGTCAAACCTAAAAATGCACATATGCCATTGTTAATATGTAACTTGGACTTTATTAGATCATTAAAGCAAACTTAGGAATTTTGAGACTTTTCTTTGTATGTTTTGATCCAATTCTCAATTTAAACTATAGTTAATAGTAATTATGTCACATCTCTTTTTTTTTTTTACAACGCAACACAATGCAAATATAAGAATTAACATATTTTATTTAATCATTAAACCTTCATATTTCTTTTATTTATTAATTAAAACTCCAAATCAGAATGAAACCGCCTAACTTGACTAAGTAGCAATAAAGAAATGTTTTTTCCATGCAAGAATAGATTTAATGCTGCAAGAAAAATGACAAACTTATCAACAAAACATACTTAGAAATCTCAAATCCGATTGAACATAAGTATGTATCAGTCGGATCATACTATATATGACTATCATGGTTATCTTAACCCTCACATAGGTCAAATCGGTGGTGTACTCACCCAATAATTGAAGAAATATTATTTATTTATTTAAAAAATAAATAAAGAAAACTTAATATCAACTCAAAATATATTATTCCTAATAACTAATACAAAATCTAACTAGTCATCGTATTTCGTTAACCCTCGAACAAAATCACTCCATGGATACTTGTCTAATTGTCACTGATAGGAAAACAAAATCATCGTATTATTTATTTTAGTCATCTAAACTATCGAAACTTAAAATTTCATTAATTTCATACAAATGTCACTCCAAAGGTGTCATGTAAATATTTTAAATTCATAAAATCTCAAAATCATGAGGTGTAAATATCACTATCACTCATAATTGACTTGGAGTTAAGTTAGTTTATTTGACCTTAATCAATTAGACATTCAACTCCAACCCACTTGAAACAAATTCAAATTGGCTTAGTTTTTAATACTAGAAATCATACAAATTTAATCCTAGAAATTTAATATTCAAAATCATGCATGAATAACATAGTTTTTAATACTAGAAATCATACACCAATTATAAATAATTATGAGACCGCGAGACTATAAAACTATTATTCAAAAAATAATAAATAAAATAACAAGGAAAAAAAAGGGAGAACCAATCACCTTCCAAGAGGGGTCTGCTCATCATTAAACAGGAAAGCACAGAGAGAGAGAGAGAGAGAGAGAGAGAGAGAGAGAGGGGTTTCCTTCAAAGGAAGGAAATAATTTTAATTTGTATTTATTTTATTCTTAGCTTACCTACACATACCAGGTAATATATTTTGGTTACTAGTTAATTCTCCTGATTAGGTTGCACATGCAATGGTATCAGTTCAACCTATGATGGTCAAATTCTAACTATAGAAATTTAATTTCAGGAAATAGATAAAATTAAATTAAATTAAATACTTTGGAATTACAAGTTAACCTGAGTTATTTCTTCTTTTTCTTTTTTTCTTGAAATATTTTGTGGGTGTCAAAAGAAGTAGAATTATGGAGGATGAGGCACAAATGAGGAAATGGATCTTGACATGAGGGGTACTATAGATTCTTATTATGTGAAGAGAGAAGACAATTTAGCATGTGAAGCTATTAAATGAAATTGTAGAACAAATACACTGGAATCTGATGCTGTAATTTAGCTGCTCTTTCCCACAATAACATACAATCCTATAGCAATCCATTCATTCATGTGATTGATTTCAAGCTTGTTTGTTTTATAATCATAAAATCTACCTGTGTAAAAATAATTTTGTTGCCATATGTAAAACAGGCTATTACTTTTTTTTTAATGCTTTTGATTAGTATACATTTATTGAAGTAATATATGCTTTTTATAGGGTATATTTCTAAACAAAAATCTTTGTTTTTATTTTTATCACATACCGTCCTTTTCTATTTTATTCTCATAAAACATCTCTAATTTTTTTCAAAGCACCTCGATGAAAAAAAAAAGAAAGATGAAGATAAAAATAACGATGAATCAAATTAAGAGAAATAGGACATCAAACACTTAAACTCGAATATCAAAGGTATGAGAGAACGAGGTTTTTAGAACATAACGTGTGTGTTCTACAAGAATAAATAAGAAAAACAAGTATTTTATTATAAATAGTACAAATTAATTTGGAAAAATCATATATATATATATATATATATATATATATATTTGTAAAAGAACAAATATTTGGCAAAGACATAAACGTAATTTTCGAATGTTATAATGATAAATATGTAAAAGTATAAGAAGAGCAGTACGTAAAACTCCAACGCTTCTACGTCTCTATCGACCTCCGCTTTCTTCGTGCGCGCGCGCGCTCTTCCTCCCTCCCAATCCCATCGCAAAGATTCTACTCTGATTCGGGTCCAGATTCCTCCACTGGTTTCCTTATCTCTAGGGTTCTGCTCCCCCTCTCCGCCTTAGTAAGTGAATCTTCTCCGCTTCGCCGCCACCGGCTTCCAAGACGAGAGCGGCAGTGGGAGAGCCGGGGGGACGTGTTGGATCCCACGACGACTGGTGGGAGTAGAACATCATCTGCCGCTTCCAGCTACATACGCATGTCGAGTCAGATATGGAAAAAGCTGGAGACTTGGAAGGAGTTCGTGTTTGGTAGAAGCCTCCGAGCGCGCTGATCGAGATTAATCCGTCTCCTATTTAGTCATCGGCCTTAAATAAATACCCATCCCAGAGCAGATTACGCCGCGAACACAGATTCCTCTGCCTCTTTGTCGCCCCTCTCCCGTGTCTTTAGGTCCTAGCGAGGATGTCGTACGACTACCTCTTCAAGTACATCATCATCGGTGACACATGTAAGTCTCCACCGTCTTTGGATCTGCTTCCCGTCTCCCTAGGGCTTGATTGCTAGCAAAACGTTCCGAGCGTCGATGATCTGTTCGATGTTTTGTTTGTGGCATTCAAGTTAAAGTTTGCTCCTTGTTGGAGCATACTGCACCCGTGAAGCTTCTTTGCAAGCTATTTCTGGAGTAATTTTAATGCCACATGCTGTCGACTACATCGAACCTGGATAGATTTCTGAACGCTATTTTTGCTCGATATTACTTGAACATTGATGCTTGGAGAGTCTTATATTTCCTTTGGTAGTATGATCTCCTCTGAGTATTTTCGGTAACTTGATGAACACCAAAGCATTAGTTCTTGCCATTGTTTGTTTTGATGATGAAGATGTATGTATGCATCACTAAATTTGGTTTGTTCTATTGATGCTGGTGATGGATGGCGCCACCAAAAATGATGCTTCGATCCTGAGAAGGTGTGGGGAAGTCATGCATTCTTTTGCAGTTCACTGACAAGCGTTTCCAAGCTATCCATGACCTGACTATTGGTGTGGATTATGGAGCTAAAATGATAAGCATCGAGGACAAGCTTATCAAGCTGTGCATATGGGACACTGTGAGTCTTCTTTGTGTTTTCTCTCATCAATATTGTGGTTTTCCACATGAAATGTGTACAACTAATGCGTAAATCTTGTTTTGCATGTCATGTCTAGTAACTGATGCAATCCTACTAGCCAAATGAAAGGTCATAGAGCTCAATGGTTAAGCTCCCTTTGGCACTAGTGACAGCAGGCATCTCTTTGGGAACTAGGTCAACCTGCATTTAGCATTGTCTGTAGAATGGGTGCTGAGGTTGACATCCTGGGCAGACATGAGTGTGCACAGGATGAATGTGTAGTTTCAACAATCCAATTAATTCTTGGATTGGTGCCATCATCCTTGTAAATAAATGGAACAGGATAGATTTATAGTATGGACAGAAATCCAAGAAGGGTTCTGTTTAAGTTGCCCCCTTTTCATGTTCGAGTGCAATGCCACTCACGATGACAATGCATCTGATGCAAAGCTTTTTGGAACATCTCAGGCTGGCCAAGAAACTTTCAGGTCGATTACGAGATCCTACTACAGAGGTGCTGTTGCTGCCCTGCTTGTTTATGACATCACAAGGTACTGATTCGAACTTTTGATGTCCTAATCTATGATAGGGATTTGAGGTGCTTAGATCATTTGTGGGTTCATCAGAAGGAGGACATTTGACCATCTCGCGGACTGGCTGGAAGATGCAAGGCGACATGCTAATGCTGATATGACAATTGTGCTGATTGGCAACAAAAGTGACCTGGCTCGAAAAAGAGCAGTCAGCACTGAGGAAGGAGAACAGTTTGCCAAAGATCATGGCTTGATGTTCATGGAAGCCTCTGCAAGGAGTGGAGAGAATGTTGAGGAGGTGAGTGACTGCGGCGTTGTTGGTCTTCTGCTAATTGTTTTGAGTTCTATGTTCTGCTTATACTATTTTCTGTTTATGTCAGGCATTTCTTAGCACTGCAGAAATAATATACAAGAGAATCCGGGATGGACAATATGATGTTTCGAATGAGGTATTTTCTGTTGATTTGAATCTAAGCTCCATGGAAGAAGATAGATATATATATATATATATATATATACATGAAAACTAATCTGAAAAGAGAAGAAAGCATACTTCCATCAACAGATACTCTCGGATTTCTTGCTGTCACAAGATATGATGTCTTATATCTCTTATATTTTACCAACTATTTGGGGTCAACTAACTTCATGGATAGTCATTAAGCTCTTTCTAGGACAACATTCCCAGTCAAATTTAGCGCTTGTCCCTCATTAATTCCAATTGATGAAACCGCTCCTCATTAAGTTTCTTTACCAGGAAAGTGTGGTTTCTGACATTATCTGGTTCCTTTCATGGTTCTTGCAGTCTTGTGGAATCAAAATTGGCGAGGGAGGAACACAACATCCATGTGGGGAAAGGAGTCTCTCTTCTTCTAGATATGATTCTTGCTGTAGCTGAGCTACAACCACAGAAGAGCCTTCTGCTACTGTTCCCTAATTCTCATTCCCAGTGTTAATCTCATCATGTCATCTAACATCCAGTTCCTAGGTGTAGAATTACAGCATGCACAAAAGTAGATACAATGTATAGTCTTTTAAATACATTTGTACATACTTTTGTACATCCTCCAGGGTAGCACTTAAATTCTGCTCATTTATTCTCATTGAGATATTTGAACTGTTACCTTGATTTCATTGCTCCACTCTTTCATCAGTTCGGTGACTATCATTTTGATTAGTTTTGGTGGTATTTATATCATTCTATTATTACTTGTGCACCCATTCTAAGACACAAATATGCATCATAAATGGCTATAGCATTCATTGGTGGCTTGTAGTTGGATTTGTATCAACGAAAAGCATATAATTTTGACCCATTATTCTCTGTTCGATGTTCATTGTATCAATTATATGCTGTTTAAAGAGGTGACTGGTTTGATTCCTTCCAACTTTTTCTGTGTTAAGATGCTCTTCGACCAATGGGAGGAGGCTAAAATGCTCCCACAATAACCCAACATTAGTTATTTATAAACCACCAAAAGCAGCTTAATAACAACGCTGGATTAGTTAATTTTCCTAAAGAATTTCCTCATTTCATTCAGATGTTACATAACAAACAGAATTCCTAACATTTAATTTGTATATAATGTACCTCAAGTTCCAAAATGCCTTCTGGAATGCAAAAGACACCTCACCACACAACCTAAAACTTCAGAGAAGGAGAGGAACCTCTCGATTCTTGTATGCAAGGTGGGCATCACTAAGGAGGGGAGGGTTCCAAGCGCAAGGTGTCCTTGAGCTTGTGGAAGCCATGGGTGAAGACGCCAAAACCGAAGATGAACCCGACGACAATCACCGCCGCGAGCAGCAGGAGGCACAGGCAGCACAACCGCGTAGGGCAGCACATCGCCTGCGGCTGCCTGCAGATAGAGGATGAGAGGGGGAAGGAAGAAGAAAGCAAGAAACAGAATGCAGAGGGGAAGAGTGGAAGTATGTATGGTTTATAGAATTGGGTTGGATGTTGGTCTCATCAGGGCAGCACGTGACACGCAGATGCACATCCTAGGCATGTTTTATGTGAATTATACTGAGTTGGCTTTTGTTTTGTTCCTTCTCATCTTCTTCAATCTTGAAGGAGAAGTTTGGAGAGAAAGGAATAAGTTATGGTCTTTTGGTTAGCATTGCAAGGATTGGTTGGCGTCCTACTCCAATGACACTTCTCGTTAGTAATGCAAGGCGAGGGATTAAAGGCAGCATAAGTGCCTCGTACCCGTTAGTTTGGACCCTCCTATATAACACATGAAGGATGGCTATCCCTGTGCGCCAAACACCTGCACACCAATTATTGCCACTCTTCCAAGCATAAAGTCATTGAACGACAGTTTTATTGACAACAAAAGGACATGATCGTGTAACAAAGAACCAAAGACGAGGCATAAACTTGAGATTGTGCATGTATTCATTAATACAACGTTCTTAATGGCAAACAAAAATGACATTTTGCTGTTTAGATGAATGCACAACACGAAAACATCAAGATTATTATTAAAAAATGTTGCTACGGGATCTATTAGGGACAGAAGGAGGTTCTAGTTCTAAAGGTGTGCATACTTCGTCATCATGGCTCTCCGTTTTCGTTTTAGGCATGTGATTTTGTCTAAATTACAAACACTTTTGTCTAGAATGACTTCTAGAATTTTAGAAGATGGACAAAATTTGAGTGAAGAAAAATTGAAGCAAAAAGAGAAATCTCAGTTTATCAACAACCTCGATGAACTAAAGAAGCAGGAATAGAAGTAATTCTAATGCAGGCCCCCCACTAGACAACACTCAGACAACAACAAGAAATGATAACATAAGCCAGTATTTCTTTTAGTTGCTTCTAAAGCTTCATCGCAGATGATAACACTTATGCTATTTAAGCTAAAAACAGATAGTCCTGCTTGCTGTTTTGAGAAGACAAGCTTTCAAACGAAACTACTCAAGAGTAAGAGCAGGCTATTTGTACATAAACAGATGATGCAAAAATTACCATGAGCATGACATTGTCAACGGCCCCGACCTCGTCCACGACCACGGCCGCGTCCACGACCACGTCCCACTGGTCTCCCTGTTTGAGATCAACAAAGCACATTAAAATAAAAGCTTGACCATGGATTTGATGACAGATTGATTATGCAGGTAACAGGTAAAAATTATAACATACCTGCAGTAGGCTTTTTGGGCTTTACCCGAGGTGTTTCCTCGACCAATAATGTCTCAAGGTTCAAGCTGTCCGGCAAGATGTAATACCGTATATTGTTACCTCTCACGCTTAGGTGATCAAGGGTAACTGGATTTTTCCCTTTCACGGTAAGTTTCACGGTCTTCAAGTGTGTGTTCATGCTAATATCCACACCTATTAAGAACCACCAAGGCATTAGGTAGGCTGGATCGCAAAAATAAAATCAACAATCAAGACAGCAAAGCAACCAGATTAGGAATTTGCATCTATCAGTCATACGATTAACCATCTGCTATACCTAAAATATCTTAATTCAAGTAATAAATAGCTTTCTAGAAGTAAAGGATACGATCATGCTACAGTAATCATATCAACCACATAGTTCAAGGCATTGTCTGTGACAAAAATGTAACATCTCGTGAAGTCAACTTTGTGCCTCAGGATAGGAATTAATCCTTGCATGTACAGTCATAAGATTCGAAAAATATACAAAACTTAAACAATACCTCTCAGAAAATTATTCTCACGGAAAATGGAAAAACGTGGCATACAAGTATCAAACATCTACATAAAAGAATCAACAGAAGCAATACTTGGACCACTGGTGCCAATGTATTAGAACATAAAATTCACTTTTGAATACTATATTTGAACCGAAAACAATTAACTTTGATTTTGTTGCCAACAATTAAATGCTTTACCATTTTTTTTATGTTCCCTACCAACCTTTCGTAAAGGAGTCTTCGAGTCAACCAAACAACCTAAAATGTACATTTCCTCCTCAGGTTTATTTGTCTTTGGTGTTTATTCTTTAACTTTGGGACAACAAGGTAGTAAACTAATAACAAGAATGACAAACATAAAAAAACATATGCACCAGATACACTACCCAGTAGTCTATTTAAGCATTCATTAAATCTATCAAGCGCAATACAAATTCTTGCTCCAATTAGATGTCCTTGTTAAAGAGCAACAAGGCATATAGCCGAAGTAAAAGTGGGGGACCATGGCACTTCCAGATGAGTATGGTTAAGATACTGTAGAGAGTTAAGAGGAAAGAATGAATACATGAAATTAGAAGTGACAAGGCTATTAACATTAGACAAGCTTTAAAAGGACAGCAAACTCCCACAAAAGTGTAATAACATGCAAAATACTCACCCATATGTAGCCCCTATAACAAAAATGAAGAAGTTTGGAAGTGGTAATAAGTTTTATATTTCTAGATTTTAGACTTGTGAAGTGGTCTTAAGCACTTCAGCAGTTTTAAGAATATGCAGAATGGTTACAAAACAACAACTGCACAGATGCCAAAAAGATAAGGCAGCAAAAAATGGATAGGATTGGGCAGCATTTTATGTACTCCAGCAGTTAATTCACTTACTATTTCAACAATAATGACAAATTGCCTCCAAATTCCAGTGTATCCAATTTTCTTACTTCATATACCCCCAACAACCATTAAATTGGTACACTTCCAATCTTAAATGAAATTGTGATTTCTCGACTGTCTTTCCATAAATCACAATGCAAATTCAAAGGGAAGCATAGCAGATGTTATCAATCTAAGGAAAAAAAGATCATAAGTCAACTGGGAAAAATTCTTCTTGTCAAGAACCAACTCAACATGGTAGTCATGAGACCAACATATTACTGGCTTCCTGTGCCAGGTGGTCACATAACTCACAAGGTTGACTAACCACTAATGATACAATTATTCTCCAAAAATACATAACTAGGATAGGAACTGCTAAGTGAATGTAAACTAAAAAGTCAAACTCGACCTCCTAAGGTTCATAATCCAATCTAAGAAACTACCTCTTGTAGCCTCCAGAATTGTTCCCAGAAAACCTTATAGGTTGACTTGGCATATGCCAACTCCAATTTTAGTTCCTAAATTTATCTTTAAGAAAAGGGACAGAAGCAGCAAAATCCAAGTTGAAATTAACTGAATCTTGAATAATAACAATATACTTGTAATTGATGCCTACTCATAAACCGGGAAAATCCACAATTGTGGCACCTGAATCAAGATTCTTTCCATGGGCTACCACCCAATGCATTCATATGACAAGAATTTAAAAAAAAAATGACTAGATTCTTCGCCCTCTGGGGAGAAGAGGAAGATCAGTTTCTAATGACAATCAGAAGAATGTCCAAGTCAAAACATAACTGCTTCCACTTCAGTATCACCCCTTTTCAGAAGGAAAAGCCACAAGCATCATGAGCATAGATCAGTGATCATTTATCCCATGTGAATTCCAAATCAGCCATCCAAAATGTGTATAGATGAATTCCTCCGTAATCATGCAGATAACAACAAGATTTGGACCCATTGAACCACCACAGCAAAAACTGAAACGCCAGTCTTAAGCATCCCAGATCCAAAGTCACAAGAGAAACTCGTATGACTCATAAATCCCCCTCTCCCTACCGGAGGAGAAAACTACAAGATCACATGATATAAAAACCCTAAACCGAAGGCAGAACATCCACGCACAGCTTGGATTTCACCAAAACCCTGGTTCAAACCAGAACGGGAGAGGCATACCTGTGATGGTTCCATGGACGACGGTGCCGTTCTTGAGCTCGATCGAGACGGTCTCGTTGTTAAGCTTCATCAGGAACCTAGAAGAAGAGTTTTCACAAGCAGATGCGTCAGCATCAGATAAGCAACAGCGACGAGAAAGAGGAAGCGGGATGGAGGGGGATAGATCGATCACCTGACGAGCTTCATCCTGGATCGAGGAGATGGCGATGCCACAGAGCGGAAGAGAACAGCGAGTTAGGGCTCCAAAAGAAGCGAATGGCCAAGCTCGTGGAAGCGGGTGTTCAAAC